TCTGATGAAGGTATACCTTCTAAAAAGAGACCTGGTCTGGCTTTGAGGATGCCAGGAGATGGAGTGTCCCCTCCTGGTCCTAAAAGAGAACTGCACTACTGACAAAATCTAAAAAGAGCATTTACATGTGAAATGCTGATTCTGCAGCAGAAATGCCCAAGGTGAAATACCTGGATCAGGATGTGAATTTCTCCAAACTTATCAGTGCTTTTATCTCAAGCTGCCCTTAAAACTGTCTCTGTATGTCTCTCTAGTACATGCTGCTAAAACTCCACCTTTCCCATAATGTTAAAAGCATCCAAGATCTAGTTAAAGACTGGTCGTTCAAGTGTGAGGTCAAGCCTGAGTGCTGGGGTTGCAGAAGTCAGAGCAGAGCCAACTCCTCACATGGGTATGACGATGACTGTGAGTATTTCTGTGGAGTTGGTGCTGACAGGAAGGACACAGAGACTGTTGACGATATTTCAGGACAGGGGCTGAAATATCTGCAATCCTGAAAACGCTGCAGACCACCATGATGTTCTAGCGTGCCGGACTCTACCTTCCAGCGGTTACAAGCTGTCACATACAGAAGGAAGAGCTATATGAGTGTCACCGGCCACAAAGCCAACATCCTATGTGACTGTTCAGCCACTTAATCTGTAACTGACCTAACTCAGTAAGTATTTAGTCCTTACACGGAGAACACGCCTGAAGTTCACAGACATATCCCCTGTCACTGCCCTCCCGAACCTCTTGCCACCTCAGATGGACCTTATGGCCAGTTTTCTCACTCAAATACCTATTTGAAGATATGAAAGTGTCACAGGGTTTGCTAGCCAGAACGTGGGCAATACATGCACTGCACACTTGCCACACTCATCAGACCCAGACTCTCAAATTATGTGGGTGAGGTGCTGGGAAGGTGCGTCTCCTTGTGTCAGTCTCTGGCTCAAGCCAGCTGCTTGTTCAGAGTGAATGGGAGAGGGTCAGGGCATATTATCTTCCTGACCCCGTGAGCCACATATCAAAGTCTTTATAAGGCGAAGAGCCACAAAAGACATACGCTGTACCAGAGAGAGACAACGTAAAGGAAGCTCTGGGAGGAGTCTTTAAACGGGAGACGACAGCAGCTCCCCAGCGGTTGTGTTTTGTGAGAAAGGGTTGAGGCTGAGCACGCAGCTGGGTGCTAAGGCACCTCAGCAATGTCAGATGAGAGCCTGTGCTGGCTGGCTTCCTCTCACACCTGGGGATTCGTGTCACTCAGCAGCTCCTGTGACAGCCCAGCCTGGCTGCTGGCCACGTGGCAGAGCCTTGGCATGGAAACTGCACAAGAACTGGTTCTGAGCTGGAGCTGTAAGTGCTGGAGTGGGGCGGCTCGTGCTGCTCCAAAGGCTCAGAAATAGTACTGGTTGTTAAAGGTGGCTGATGATTAACCAATTCCCATGCCAATTCCACTGCTCAGCAGCCTTCCTTTCAGTTGTTGTGGTCACAACAAAATAATACTGGTATGAACACACAACTGACACAAACATACAAGGAGATCATATGAACCTGCTCTGGAGCAGACTCCTTGGAAGGTCACATCCCAAGCAGGATCTGCCCTAAAACCCAGAGTATGCAGAGTCCCTAAAGTGCACGTGAATCCTCATGAAGTCCAAAGAAGTCAGTGGGACTGCACAAATTTTAAACTGTGAAACTGTGAAAGGATAAGCAGGCTCCCACTGTTTAGTGAGCCAAAATGCATTACGCAAACAGTCTGATTCTGCTCTCACATCAATTTTGCATCATTCCAGCTCATGGTTTTCAGTAGTTCCTCTCAGCTGACATCCATGCAAGTGTTGGAGCAAAAATAATGCTTATAGTATCTTTTCTCATTTAGTCGTTTCTCTAGAGCAAAATTTGTACCAGTGCAGGGACCAGTCCCATGTTTCTATTCTAGCCACATTCTGAGCACTGAAATGCAATGTAAAAAATCACGTGGTATGCACAGGTCACTGCAATGCAATGCCTTTCACCCCTAGCTCCAAAGCCCCCCCAAACTGCATGGGAAGTGAATTATATTAACAGAAGATTACCCCTTCACTGGTTTTCTGCAAATCTGAAGAAGTGTTTCTTGTGTCATTGCCTGCGTCCCCAGCATCAGAGCTGCTCTTATTTTCTTCCTCTTTGCAGTCCTTATCATCTTCATCGCCAGGAGATTTCCGTGACTGCTTGGAGGATTTCTAAAATGATAAAAAACAAAGTTAAAAAGTAAAAACTGAGCTTCAGTCATAGAAAGACACTTTTGAAATGTACGTGGAATGCTGTCTGATCATGTGGTTCCCTGTTCAAGGTGAATATTGGGGAGGATATGTGGGGTGAAAAGCCTTTTTCAGGTGAAGTAGTTACTGCCATCACTGAAGCAAAAGGAGAAATTCTATGTTCAACACAGGTTGGCAGCACAATTGACTGTAAGACTGACACAGTAATAGGAGATGGGTATTAGTGTTGGGTCACCTGTAGGTTTTGCTAGTTAATGAAACAGATGGTGCCAGCTTGACAAAAGTTTTGATTAAACACAGAGATGTAAAATGAGAATAACATTAGCAGAGCTGCTTTCCATACTTTTTTTAGTGCTGTCAGCTTTAATATATTAACATTAAAGCCATGTGGAACCAATACATCTTTTCTGCTCCCTTTATGTTATGCAATTCTACAGTACAAAAGGATAAATTGTGGCATTAAGCCACCATTTTCCTAATCCTCTGTTTGCCCAGAGTCTTCTGGAAAGAAGATGGTAGACCAAACCTGAATTTCTAATGTAAAACACACAAAGGGGGTGAAATTACTTAATACATTTTGTTCAGTGGATGAACGACAAAAACTGCCGCTCTCTCCTAAATCGAGCCTGGATCAGATTGTTTGCTTGCTTCTTTTAATTTCATTTAGTTTTCACTTTCAGAGAAGAATAACATGAATGTGAATGAACATGATTCTGCCACACTTTCCACAATTTTTTATGCAAAGTACAGACCTGGAGGCACACACAGGACCAGAGGAAGTGACTATAATGTTGCTCCCTTTCACCGAGGTGACAAGTTAGAAGCGTATCTGAACCCAAAGTTGTCACTACACAGGTGATTACGTTCACTAGCCATTATGAGGCAGTTGGAGACACATTACTCTTAGCTTCCTCACCTACACTGTTACTTAGATATTAACAGGTCAGGTAGGTACTACAATGCACGTCTTTCATCTACAAATTGCGTGCCCTACTTCCTGCTTAATGAATTAGTTCTTCCTCCCTCCCATTCTGTATCCTGTACTGAAGTATTTTACACTTAGCTACAACAGGAGTGGCTGAGCACATCTGACCCTACCATATCTTTTAGCATGGCATCTGGGGCACTCACGCTGGAGACAGGAGAGGGAAGCTTGAATTCTCCCAGACAGGAACCAAACTTGAACTCATGTCTTCCAGGAGGCACACTTCTAAGGCTTTTTTTTGCTCTTCATGGGGAAATACCTATCTAAGATGATCAAACCTATTAATCCATCTTTGCATGGATTTTCTTTCCAGCCCTTCTGAACTCCTTCCCATACTTTCACCTCCTTCTCAAAGTGTGGGCACTAGAACAGGGCAGAGTATTTCAACTGCTGTCTCACCAAGCTATCTACAAAAGCAAGAGCACTTCCCTTTGCCTGTTTGAACACCATCGTTACTGGAACCAAAATGCTGAAGAAGGAAGAACAGATTGCCATGAGGTGGACAGTATTCTAATTATAAATGCACATGGGTAACAATGAAGAACTCAGAAGATAACCTTTGAAGTGTAGGATTTTTTCCGTTTTGAGCCTGCTTTTTCATTCTTTCTTTTTCCTTTTCCATCTTCTTCTACCCGATCACCTTCCTCCTCACTGCTGGCATCTGCTGTATTTCCTCCTTCTCCTTCAGTTTCTGATGAGCTCTGTTGCTGAATTGCCTTTAAAATAACAATAAGAATAACAATAATAACATAAACAACAAAAGTATCACTAAAATCTATTACTTAATTTTTGTTCTGTATTAAAAACAGAAATACTGGTAACAGACAGCTTATGCTTTAATTGCTACAGTCAGGAAGAGCTCAGGTTATTCTTGCAATTATCAATAAAAAGGGCTGCAAAGGCAATTTTCTCAGTCACCACTTGAAAACAGTTATCAGATGCAGATTCTGGGATAGTGTGTTCTGAAGAGTTTACACAGAAACAGAAGATCCGATAACTAAAATGTGTTTGCTGGAGAACACATTGGGGTTGCTCAGTGGAGACACCCGGCATGTTCTACTTTGGGCAAAACTATGGAAACTTTTAGACTTTGGCTGCAATAGGAGAGACTTATTCAGGAGAGAAGATGGCTGTTACAAAACACCCCAAAGGGCAAGATCTCTGTGTTAGGAAAAAGCAAACACTGACCAGAAGGCTGAGAGCTCTTTGACAGTCTATCTCCCACAGACTATTCACCAGATTTTTTTAAATCCCCAAGTGTATTCAAAACATCTGTAGGGCTGAAAATATGAAACAGGAACTGAGAGGGGCAGCAGCTTGTCTGCAGGTGGTCCGTATCTCTGGTTTGTAAGGTTTTGTGCTAATAATGTAATAGGTGTTTGCCTTCTTTTGGAGGTGATTTCTGCCTTCAAAGGACCACATTTTTTTAATGAGAAAAGTTCTTTGTTTTTATACAGCCCACCAACTACTCTTCTCCCCCTCCAGCTTCACTGACTTTTTGCTCCAGACATCCAACAGGGAGAGCTGTTGTACAGCAGCTACTATCTCATAACAGCAGCTTAAACCTCCACCTTCTCATCTCTCACAACTTTAGCAGTGGTGTCCTACGTGTTATACATTACCAATGTAAAAATCAAAAGTGCAGTGACCTTAAGGTCTGTGTAAAATACACTGAACCTGATATAAAAATAAACAACAGAAAGAAGAAGTAAGAAATTATTCATGTTTATACTGGAGTAAATAAAACCTTCCATTTTTAATTCAACTAAATCTGCTACAGAATTTTCCACTTCACCACCCCAGAATATCACAGAAAGCGAAGGGCTCTGCTTAAAGTTCAATTTGTCACGTGCAAGACCACAGTTGTCTTTATATTACACAATTACAAAAGCTGTGAAACTTTCTAGCTCCACCAAAACCAGGACCTTCCACATCACTCATACAATGTTTACATTGACAAGAAGTCTTCAAAGAAGAAAACAAGAAAGATCAGGAGGAACAGAAGTGAAAGTAATTTACCTGATATCCAGTAAACTTTACTCCAGGGTTGTTTTCTATTTCCCACAGGCCTTCATTAAATCCTTTTCGCTTGTTTGACTTCCCAAACTTATCTTTATATTCTTTATATGGGAAAAGGTCTTTGGGCCCCAGGAACGCACTGCATTTTAACACAGGTAACATTAAAAAAAAGGACTTAAATTCCTCCTCTTCAAAAAAACCCCAAACCATTAAGAGTGCAAGTGTTTTCCCTATTCTTCTGCTCATTCCATCATTTCTTTTTCAGTTTTATTTGTTTGTTTGTTTGTTTGTTTGTTTAACACACTGGCTTTGAGTTACTGCTGTGAGTCTGATTTAATGGATTGTCTCACCATTCTGATGTTTGATGTTGCAAAATCACGCTGGGTCTCTCTAGAAACAACTAAACCGAGTCTCATTTATTATATTAACTACTGCTGGGAACTGGCACTTGAACAGTTTATGAAAGGGATTATATGACGTAACTGCCTGCGATAGCAAGGGACCAAACTTCCAATCCTATGTGTTACAAATCCAGAAAGGCCTAAAAATACCATATGAAAAGTTAAAGCATGTGAGGAGTGCTTAGAACCCATGAGCCAAAACTTATCCCTTGTACTACTGGACAGAAAAAGCAGTGGCATTTATTATTATCTATACTGCCAGTAAGCCTAGGAGCTTCTTTCTTGGAATAAGCCCCCCACATGCTAGATTCTGTGCAAACACAATAACAACGTTCTCTTTCCCAAAAATCTTATAATTTCATATAAGACAAGAAACAATGGGAGAATATAGACAGATGAGTAATACAAGGAAACAATGAGACACACAGGGTGCTTGTGGCCAAATTGTTTTTTAGACAGCACAGCAAAGGAGGGATTTTGTGCTCTGCTGCTGCGTAAGTCAGCTATGCACTGGGCCAACTAATTTCAGGCACAGGCAGCACAACGCAGGGAAAAATAATTAAAAAAAAAAAAGAGTGGTGATATATCCTGCTTTTTCTACATACTTTACAGTAAAATTCTAACTTCTTACATAAAACTGAAGAAAGCATAATTTCCTTTTCACTGGGTATCTATATCCAGTGTGTTTACTGTGCTCTGTATCATGGTACTGGGATGGCTAATCGTAAGTTAAATTAAAAACAGTGAAGGCAAAAAAAATACTTCATTCCCACATGGAAGATTCCATGTCATCAATGACCGGAGCTAAGCAAGTCACAGTGTCCTTCACTATAATCAGTGTCCTACTTTCCTGATGATCTTTGCAATTAACGTTAACTCTATGGTCTCCATCACCATGGGATCTTGGAGCTCCACCAGTTACAACACATTTATTCTTGTAACATCACCATGAGGTTGGGAAGTTGCCCTTTTTTGCAAATGGCTTCTGAGGCACAGAGATCTGCCCAAGGTCAAACTCAAACTGATAGCAGAGTACAGAGGAAAACCCAACTCTCTTCAGTCTCAGTCTAATACCTTAATCACAGGATCATACTTCCTCCTTTCTGTAAACATTAATTCAGATTAATGACTGATTTATGCCCTGATTCTTCCCAGCATTTATGAATGTGCAAAGTTTCATTCACTTAAATCATCCCACTGGCCAAGAAGTTTGCCAGTACAGAGCCAACTGGTGGCTAAAGGCATCAGATGACAAGTCTCTGGGGAAAGAGCTTCCTTTTAACCACACAGGAGACAGCATGATATCCACACTCAGTTGTCTCATTGAGAAATATCTCAATTATATAATTACAAAGCCAAGAATGCATTTCTACCTGAAAGCCAAACAGTGATTTCCAAACTAACAGATGTCTCGTTAATATTAAAGGCTACAATAGAGCAAGGGATCTGAATAAATTATTTTATCTATGCTTTTGCTAATACTAGGAGATGTCTCCTTGTTGCCAAAAATACATTCAAACAGTTCTAACCAAATAACGAAGGAAAACTGTATGAAACTTACCATAAGCTACCTTAATTTAGCTCAACAGTAATGTATGGAAATGTTTCTACAGCCTTTTATATACAGTAAACACTAAAAAATTGTCTACATCTTTGTTTGAAATACGTTCATTGCCACTGGGAGAGTATAACAGTTTCCACTGCTCTGCTATAAAACTAAGGAGCTGCAATCTACAGTTCATTTTTAACAATTACGCTTTTTAAATTATTAAGGTAGTTACTACAAACTGTTTTCCTGTTTCAGATGTTACAGTCAGATCATGGGCTAACAAAATCCAAACCAAAAGAGATTACCAGTTTGGGATTCATTCATTTCAGAATAAAAGTGTTTCTCAAAATGTTTCTCAAGAAAAATGTTTCCATTAAAAAAAAAATTACATTTTGATTTCTGATTTTAAAGCATCATAAGTTTATTTGAACTTTATTCTTTTTAAATTATTTTGTGACAGTAGTAGTAGATCACAATATATCAAAATACTAGGTTGTTTCATTGCAGCAATAGGAAGAAATATTTTAACTGAAGAGAGGCTATTGATCTTTATTAAGCAGAAACTGCCTTTAAAGATTTTCAAAATAAATGGTGACATATGAGCTATGGGGCTTATTATGTTCTGGAATAATATTAAAATTCAAAAATAAACAATACATTTTTAATAAAGCTTCAAACCTCTAAAATTAAATTTAAACTGTCATCATAATTTCATTTTTTCATTTTTCCATTTTTTAAAGAATTCCAGAAAACATGTCCCCTGCAAGTGGGGAAGGAAAGGTTTTAAAATGTAAACATTTAATGCAAAATGGAAACTGTGATTTTTTTTTTTTTTAACTACCTCAGACATAGTTTAAAATGGAGACATGTACATTATAATCTTGAAACTCTGTACTTTGTAGCAATTACTACGAGACCTAACTTACCCTTTCTATTCTGATCCCTTTCTTTC